GGAGTCTAGGTCCTCCCCATGCATGGTTCTTGCAGGCCCCCATGGGCTCAGATTTGTTGGCACTGTGTAGCTTCTTCTGGAGCTCCTGTGCTTCTGGGTCCTTCTATTCTCCCACACTTTCTTATGACTTCCTGTGCTCTGCCCAAAGTTTGGCTGTGAGTCTTAGCTTCTGCTTGGATCCCCTGCTGGGTGGAGTCTTTCAGAAGACATCTATGGTAGGCTACCATCCTGTTACCTCTTTTCAACCTCTTCTGATGTCTATCCTGTTTGCCCTTCTGAATGAGAATTAAGCATCTTCCGTAGGGTACTTCTTTTTATTTAGCTACTTTAGGTCTGTGAATTATAGTATGGTTACCCTGTATTATATGGCTAATATCCACTTGTGAGTATATTCCATGTGTGTCTTTCTGGTTGTGGGTTACCTCACTCAGGAAGATTTTCTCTAGTTCTACCTGTTTGTCTGCAAATTTCATGATTTCCTTGTTTTTAATTGCTGATTAGTATTCCGTTGTGTAAATGTACCACAATTTCTGTATCCATTCTTTGGTTGAAGGTTATCTAGTTTGTTTCCAGATTCTGGCTATTATAAATAAAGCTGCTATGAATATAGTTGAGCAACTGTCCTTGTTGTATGATGGAGCATCTTTCAGGTATATGTCCAAGAGTGGTATAGCTGGATCTTGAGGTAGCACTATTTCCTATTGTCTGAGAAAGCACCAGATGGATTTCCAAAGTGGATGTACAACTTTACACTTCAATCAGCAATGGAAGAGTTTTTCCTTTCCCCACATCCTCACCAGCATGTGCTGTCACCTGAGTTTTTGACCTTAGCTATCAAGAAAATTGTCCAATTTTTTTTTTGAATTTTCAAATTTTGTGGCCTATAGGCGTTTGAAGTAAAACCTAATTATTCTTTGGATTTCTTCAGTGTCTGTTGTTATGTGTCCCTTTTCATTTCTTAGTTTGTTGATTCAAATAGGGTCTCTCTGCTTTTTAGTTTGTTTGGATAAGGATTTTCCAAATTGTTGATTTTCCAATTATTTTCTAATGTTGTTGATTTTCTCAAAAAAAATCTACTTTTGGATTCTTTGAGTTGTTCTCTTTCTAATTTATTGATTACCGCCCTGAGTTTGATTATTTCCAGCCATCTACTCCTCTTGGGTGTGTCTTCTTCTTCTTCTTCTTCTTCTTCTTCTTCTTCTTCTTCTTCTTCTTCTTCTTCTTCTTCTTCTTCTTCTTCTTCTTCTTCTTCTTCCTCCCTAGGGCTTTCAAGTGTGCCATTAAGTGGCTTGAACAGGACGCCAATCTCTTTATGAAGGCATTTAGTGCTATGAACTTTCTTCTTTGCACTGCTTTCATTGTGTCCTATAAGTTTGGGTGGTATATTATTTGGGAAATCATGGTGATTATAAGCTCCAATTTCAGAGTATGGTTGTTGTATTGATTATCAAAAAAGCATCCAGTCTTCTGCAAAAGATTTAAGATCTTTTAAAATCAGTATCTGGGTTAACAAAGTAACATTTATGGAAGGGCATTAATCAAAGAAAAATTGTTTCACAAGACATTTTGGCTACCACAAGTCATCCTGGGAGATGTTTTAGGTTTTATCTCTAGGAGTATGTGAACAAGGTTTCCATAATTAGCACTATAACCTAGACTATAGGATAAGCAACATTTCATAGTACATGTCTTATTATTATCTGAATTCAGATATATAATATATTATATTAGCACTATAGTATAAATACATTATGTCATATAATATATAATTACATAATATGTAAGATTTAATATAAAATAATGTTAAATACAATATATTTATATATGTATATATAAATATAATATGTTATATAACATATATAATATAAAGGTATTATTATCTAAGTTCAGAGACTGAGGAGGATTTTCTAGGGTAAGGAGCTAACATCATGCAGTTCCTTGTAGGTCATTCATGGGAATTCATTGGAATAGTGGGCAGGGTTATATCACCCTTTAGAAAGATTATCCTGACCATAGAGCAGAGATCAAGATGGAAAAGATTGCTGGCTGCCTTAAATGATATCTGACAGAAAGGGTTACAGTAACTATTCAAGAGGAAGGTTGACTGGCTCAAGATGCAAAAGTGAGAGTGAAATAGAACACATGGATTCATTCACATTGCGGTTAGACAAAATTTATGCTCGGTTGAATGGTAGTTGTTGAAGGAGATAGAGACATAACAAACATGACTCTGGGACTCCTGAATTTCCTTACTAATGTATCAAATGTACATGGTCGCAGGTAATTTTCTAGATACTAAAGGTACAATGAAGAGTATTATAGGTAAGATGCATGTAGCATTTCACCCTAGAGTGAGGAACAGATGGTAACTAAATAATAGAATACACCTACTTGGAGCTATATGTTGATATTCATGATGCTGTGGGGGCATCCAAGTGGGGAAGTTCAGTATTTATTCATCTGTTCGTGTTAGTATGTGCTTTCAGGTGCACATATGTGTGGAGTTGTATGTGTATCTGTGTGGCCTGTATATGTGGCCTATATGTGCTGGTGTTCCTACGTGGGCCTCTACCTTGCACTTTGAAACAGGGTGTCTCAAAGGTCTCTAGCTCAGCAAATAAGAAAGGCAGAGTATTGAGAAGTCACCAGGCACCTGCCTCTACCTTCCTCTTCAGTACTGAGATCACAAGCATTTGCCTTGACACTTAGATCTCATGCTTGCATGACAAGCATTTAACCATTGTTGCTTCCTCCACAGCTCTTACGTACTTGTTGATACCAGCTCAGTATCAACAAAGATTTTCAAGTTTTTCTAACTGGAAAATTGATTAGGAAATTATTCAGTGGTCAGAAATTTGAGAAATGTTACAAAATAGCTCCACATTTACAAATTCTTTCATTTTCTCTTTCTTTTTGTTGTTGTCAGCATAGCCAGTTTTATGATATGTAACGCATTTATCATTTCCTGTCATCTAGAAAAAATTAGGATCATAATGATGAGGGAGAAGGTGCAGGTGTGTGGGTCTTACCTGTATTATTCTAATTATCCCACCTATAGATTTTTAGCTCTTGGAAAGTTCCATAAAACAAAATATTCACATGACAAAGAGTTCTCATTAATAGACATAGGATGTCTGGGAGTCTCTGGTTTGCCATAGGGGGTTGTCGGGAGGTTAGTAATTGGCTTATGCATTTAAATTCATTGAAAAGCAGAGCTAAATTTAACCTAGTACATTAAAAAGCATGCTGTTCTGTCAGGGGAATATGAAAGTCTCATTTCTATTATATAATTTCATGGGGGATTTGTTTTATAATTGAATGAGCTATGATATATTTACATGTATTTCTATTGAAAATGATGAAAACATTTTCACATCTTTTCCTATTGCTTATTAAAATGATGGAAACTTACAATTTACAATTAAATTGAGTATTTCTGGAGGCAAGTATAGAACATTTCCTTATATTTTAGCACATCTTATAGTTATATAGTGGTTATAAAAATAATTTTAACTGGTCTGTTCTTTACAGGATGTAAGAAAACAATTTTGGATAGGAGAACTCACTTTTATGTTATTATTCTTTCACTCAGAATGCATGTACATAACACTTCTAACATGATTTAAAGTCATGGATGAGTAGATCCTACAGTTGTAGCAATGACTTGAAGACTTTAGAACGCTGAGCTTGTAGAGTTTAGGGAACTTCGCATTTCATGTTTTTTCTTGTATGGTAATTTCCAATTAGTTGACCTATTTTTTTTTTTTAACTTAAGCGTAGTTGTTAAGTATTAATAGCAATACAAAATAAGCTAATCCTCAAAACCACAATGATTATTGCTGTAGATTGTTTCCTGGTGAGACATAAGAAAAAGGCAAAGGTTAGCAAACTAACATTTTTTTTTTTTTCAGTAATGGTTTAATGGTTTGTTTCTAAGCCACTGTGGACAGACATGGAAACAAATGCATTGCCATTGTCAAGACTCTGAAATTCTTTTTAAGATAGAGAAAGAACACAAAGTTAGGAGGATAGAGAGGGAAATCTGGAGGGAGTTGGGGATTAGGAAAGAATATGATAAAATATACTGTAGAAACTTCTCAAAGAATAAATAAGAAATGAGTTTGAGATCTTTCTTGTATACTCTCCCCACTCCTTTCAAGACTCCACTAAAAAGGTTTGATTTTTTTTTTTTTTACGTTGCTTTTGATTTGTAGAGTACAGTACGGCTTCTTTTTCCGCTAAGGAGTAGAGTTAGAGAGACAGTGCGCTTTGTTCTTCATGCTGTTTTGTGGAATGGGAAAGAATCATTGTGGTTGCATCTGCTGCACAGCAGGGAATCTGGATCATATGAACCCCACTGGAATTGTAACAGCCTTCAGTCAAAGGCAGGCTGTACAGCTCAGGCTATGGACTGAAGACGCTCATTAGACAATATAGCCCTATTTAACAATATCTCTGACTGTGACAAAACTTTTACAGGACTGAAGTTAGGAGTCATTGGTTATAGATGCCAGGAAATGAAAAGAAATCCTTATGAATAAACAGAAAAACATCATCTACTCAGAATTTACGTTGATTAGAACTTTATTAAATGGTAAATGAAATCAGATTTTTTTAAAAGAAGATTTATTTATTTATTATGTATACGGTGTTCTTCTTCATGTACATCTGCACACCAGAAGAGGGCACCAGATCTCATTATAGATGGTTGTGAGCCATCATGTCGTTGCTGGGAGTTGAACTCAGGACCTTTGGAAGGGCAGCAAGTGCTCTTAACCTCTGAGCCATCTCTCTAGCCCCCATGAAATCATATTTTGAAAGCTTATAAATGTTATGCAAAATAATTTCAGCACTAATTAGCTTGCTAAAATTAAGGATTTTTGGCTATTTTATAAGTAAGTCTTGTCATTTGAAAAGTTCTAGTTGTGTTCGTTCCCAGTAGTTGATCACATCTTAGGAGATGCTTCACCGATGTTTCTGTTGGTGTTCTTGCTTAACAGAGGACAATCGAGAGCTATGTGGATAAACGCATGGGCACAACGTATGGTCCTGCCGCAGGGAAGAAAATGGCTGTATTTATTGATGATTTGAATATGCCAGTAATCAATGAATGGGGTGATCAGGTATACTGAGCCTACTGTATGTTTTTATTTTGCTAATTTGTGGCTGATTTATTCTTCCATTGATAATTTTAAAAATATTTTTTCAGCTTGCAGTTTCTGAGTTACAATAAACTCTGTTCTGTAGAAAAACATAAGGGATTAGGTTCTAGGAACACGTCTGTCTTCTCTGGCTGTCTGCCGTCTATCTGTCCATTTGTCCCCGCCTTTGTCTCTCTGTCTCTTTGTCTCTGTGTGTGTGTGTCTCTCTATGTGTGTAGATTCACTAACCTGTGACTAATTGTGAGGCCAGAGGTTGTATTCTACCACTCTGTACCTTTCTGGAGACTGGTCTCTCTGAATCTAGGCCTCACCATTTTGGTAGACTGTTTGGACACTGAGCCACACCCAGCATTTGCTTGTCTCAACCCCCAGCCCCAGCTCTGACATGCGCACAAGCACACTCGGCTTTTACACGGCTGCTGGGGATTCTGAACTGCAAGCAAGAATGCCATTTTAATTCTCAGAGTTATTTTTCTTAGGTTACTAATGAGATTGTCCGACAGCTGATGGAACAAAATGGGTTCTATAACCTAGAGAAGCCTGGAGAGTTTACTAGCATTGTGGACATCCAGTTCTTGGCAGCCATGATCCATCCTGGGGGTGGACGCAATGACATACCACAGCGATTGAAGAGACAGTTCTCCATATTCAACTGTACCTTGCCTTCGGATGCTTCCATGGACAAGATCTTTGGTAAAATGGTTATTAGAGAGCAAGGGAAAAGAGGGATACCTACTCTCAGCAAGTATCACCCAGAGGGCAACAGAAAGTGTGAAAGGCTCCTTAGACTGCAGCCTTATCACTATCTTATTTTGTTTCCTACAGTGAAAAATTACAGGTATTTATGAAGGTAGATGCATTAGTGCATATTTTCTGGTTGTTTTATTATTATTATTATTATTATTATTATTATTATTATTATTATTTTCATTTAACTACCATTTAACCACCTTCTCAAGTAAGGAAGTTGAACATGGCACGTACAGGAGTTGGTTTTCACGTGGGGAGCCTATATATTCCTTTGTGTAGACCACGTGGCTGATACACTTACTAACCCAAATAATGAGTATTTTGCCATAAGAATAACAGTGTACAAAGTAGATAAGAGACTCCTCTCTGATCATCAGGGTACTCAACAGAATTCTAGTCAGTTATTGATGTATTAAGTATGTAGTTCTTCAGAGACAATTTAATTGAAGTGCTACTAGCTAAAAAAATATATAGCCAAGTATATTTACTTGAGCAATGAAAAACTAATTTTACTGATTTTGGAATTACTCTTTGCAAAAAAAAAGAGTGTGAAGTTATGAACAACTTTCTGTTAGGTATGAATTTGTAGTTCCACAAACTGAAACTGACACAAAACTCATTAAGATTACCCTAATTAATTTTCTGGCAGAATAAAATGTCATCTTATCACCCCAGGCTGGGAGAATGTGACGGCACTCTGCCTTCAGTCACAGCAGTGGAAAGATTTGGAGACCAAATGACATTTGAATTATCTAAATTTGGGGAAAGTCAAGAAGATGAGAAGGAATGACTACTATCACTTTTAATTATTCTTTGTTGCCTGGAATACGTTATGCATAAAGGAAATTAGTTTATAATGAATGAGAAGTCAGCAACAGAAGAGGGAACTCTAGAGGACCCAGGAAAACATCTCATCTTTTAATGTCAAATTTATATATTTATCACCGTTACTCATTTAAAAATACTAACTTTGTGCATTTAGAGTTTTTAGCAGTGTTTGTTTTCTTTATCATTGTAGTTGTTATTACTATAATAATTATTACTTAGCTTTACTAGAGATAGAATCGAGAACTTTGCACTCAAGAGGCAACTGCCCTACCACTGAGCCGCTTATCTCTATTTTTAAACCAACTATTTTAAAACTATTTTTAAACCGACACTGATATTTGGAATGCTGAGTTACTTAAATATATAACTGGTTTTTGAGTATCTGAAAAATTAATAGAACATTAATGGATGTGATCATCTTTAATGTGTGGCCATCTGTTAAACTATATGAGCATATTTGTGCAAATTCTGCATTGCCACGCTTTTTCTCTGAACTGAGTTGAGCAGTTAGTCAGAACGCAATGATCCTCCATCTTGCCAGGTGTGATTGCAGCTGGCTACTACTGTACCCAGCGGGGCTTCTCCGAGGAAGTGCAGGATATGGTGATGAAGCTGGTAGCCTTGACAAGACGCCTGTGGCAGATGACTAAAGTGAAGATGCTCCCAACACCCGCAAAGTTTCACTACGTGTTTAACCTTCGAGACCTCTCCAGGATCTGGCAGGGCATGCTGAACATCACTGCAGAGGTCATCAAAGACACAGATGTAAGTGAGAAGACAGAAAAACAGCTCACATTGCTATGATTAAATTTAATTTTTATGTGGAGTCTGAAAAAAAATTAGATCTTTTTGGCACAGTAATTCATTTCTTCATCTCTGGTTAACATCCGTAAAAGGAAAACTAAATATTACTTTAGAAAATTTGAATTATAATGTCAGTTAAGCTAATTTATATTGAAGGAAATAGTAGACACAATTATTGTCTAAGGGGTACATATTAGTTTCTTTTCCCATTCTTGTAGTAAAATATCCCAATACAAGCAATTTAAGTGGAAGAAGGATTTATTTTGGCTCTTCCTCAGAACGTGTAGACTATCTAGAGGGAAGGTCATGGCGGCAGAGTGTGAGGCAGCTGGTTACAAAGCACCCACAGTCAGGAAGCAGACAGCTCTGAATGCTGGCACTCAGTCCAGGATCTCTGCCCACGGAATGGTGCTGTCTGTAGTTAAGGGGGGTTTCCACCTCAACTGACTCAATCTAGGTGATTCACACAGGCATAGGCTTGTGTTTTAGGTGACCCCAGATCCTGTCAAGTTGAGAGTGGATATCAATCACAGGCTACAAAAGAAGACGCTACTGTTTTTTTTTTTTTTCATAATATGCTATTTTTCTTTAAAAAGCGGTAGGTACAATTATGACTGGGTTTATTCATAATAGCCTACATACTTTAAGCTTCATTTTCTTAAACTTAAAAATGTAATTATATTTATAAATAAGCAGTCAGAATAAAAGGAAACCATTTTTTGTTAACCACCCATGGTTTTTCCTTGTAACTAGATAAAGTAAAAGAATTATTTATTTTGCTACAATTGAAAAGAGGCAACAGAGTAGAAAATTTATTTATTACAAAATCTAAAATGAGCACTTGTGGATGTATGTTAATATGACAGTTCCCTTCAAACTAGAAAAATAGGTTAAAAATCAAGTATGTCTTTTGCCTTCAGAGCATGACTACTCAGTTTAAGTCAGTGGTGGCCTCTTTTCTTGCCTTTCTGGAGCTGGGGATGTAGTTTGGCAACTGGCTTCAGCAGTATTGGTAACCAGAGCACTCAGAGGGTAGAATTACTAACAGAATAATCAGTAATGATATCATGTGTTCCCTCTCAGATTCCCTCATGTTTGCACCTGATCCTTACCAATAGCTAGCCAAGTTAGCTAACTTGAAAACCAGACAAATTTTGGGGAAGCTCATAATCCATATGACAAAACTGACCTTTAGTCTAGCAGAAGTGAATATTTCAAGTTGATTTAAAAAATTAACTATATTACTCACTTGGAGGCCAGAGGACAACTTTGTGGAGGAGGTTCTCCTTTTCCACTTTGATGTGGGTCCCAGGGATCAAGCTGAAGCCATGAAACCTCCATGACAAGCACCTTTATTTTCTGAGCCACCTGGCCTGCTCTCAGGTTGCATTTTCCTCTCGTAGTGTCATTAACAAAGTAATGGAATTGTGGAATGTGATTCTTACCTATTATTCTTCAGTCTTCATTCTGGTCACTTATTTTAGGTCAATACAAACAATTTAAGCAATTGATAGTATAGTAAACTTTTTTCTTAACAGACATTTTTTTTATTCTGGAAACCAAAAGCTTTTTGTCGTTACTAAGAAACCTGGCTTGAAAGGTAAATAATTCCTACTATTATTTTAAACCATGAAATACATAATCAAACCAATAAATAATGAAATTCATCAATTATTATTTTCTTGGTATAGAATAGGGATGTTGTCTAATAAATTTTCCCAGCTACCAGCAAATTTTGGTCCATAAATTGTTTTTCATTTAGATATGCCAGATTTATTTTTGGAACAAATTTTCCTTATTTATTGTAATTAAATATCCCTTATAATATTGTATACATGTGAGTTCCTCATATACTGTATGTTGCAGTATAAATGGCCCATGAAAGGAACCATTGTAACTAATTTAATAACAAATGAACACCTTTTCACACAACATCAGATAGTTTGTTGATTCATTGATCTGATAAATCTGTAATGTTTTCATCCAGGAGTATGTTCTTCTTAATTAAGACTCCAAAAGGATAAATTCGATTTCCCTTTATTATTCTTGGATAATATCAATTCAAATTGAAATGTGGGCATATTGTATCTTTAAAGTTTTGTATCTGAAAGCCAGAGAAATGAAGCTCTATGGCATTTCAGCCTGCAATCTCAATTATGACACAGTAGGAATTAATGATGCATTTAATTATGTCTTCAACAGGACCTACTCAGGCTGTGGAAGCATGAATGTAAACGGGTGATAGCTGACCGCTTCAGCACGTCCGGTGATGTGACCTGGTTTGATAAGGCTTTAGTCAGTTTGGTAGAGGAGGAGTTTGGTGAAGAGAAAACACCGGTGGTAGATTGTGGAGTTGATGCTTACTTTGTGGATTTCCTGAGGGATGCACCAGAGGCTACAGGTAAACTACTGAGTAGGAGTGTGAAGTTCTCCAAAAGGTGGCACCCAAAGGAGATCTAATGGTAGAAGGTTTATGCTTTACAGAGATTCAGTTCCTGTGCAGGAAAGAAGCCGGGGACAAGTAGGTACTCAGCAGATACAAGAAGAGTGGGTCAGTACATAATCAGCGAGTTCAAAGGTTAATTATCAGTATGTTGATCTCTTTTGTGTATTAAAGGTGATAGGAAGTGGTAGGAAGGAGGAACATGCCCAGGACTCACAGCTCATCAGAGGCAGGGGGAAAAATTTTTATATCTGTTGGCTGAATCTCTTGTACCTTATTGTCTTCATGCTGGCAGATAGAAATGTGAATATCACATCATGGAAAATGGGGAAAAAATGAAGTGTTATCTATGAAATGTCTAGGCATCTGCAGACCACCATCACTGCCAAATAAAAGTCAGAAAAATTGGCAATGGTTATTCCCATACAGGTATCTGAATCACCTGAGAAGCCCAGTGCATATAACTTAGAAGAAGTGAGTTATTCACAGTCTCCCTTTTGTGATTGGTTCCATGAAAAGTAGAGATCTGTTCCTTTTATTTATGGGAATAGACAGTGCCCTAACTTTCGTATCAGAACTAACCTGTGTTAAAACAAATATTATTTTTCATTAAAAACCCTTTCTAAAACTTTGGATGGAACAGGAGTTCCACAAGGAGACCAACAGTGCCACAAAAATCTGGGTCCAGGTGGACCTGTAGAGACTGATGTGGCAACCAAGGACCATGCATGAAGAGGACCTAGACCCCCTGCTTATATGTAGATCATAGGCAACTCAGTTTCCATGTGGGTTCTCTAGTAGGGGGAGCAGGGACTGAATCTGACATGAACTTAGTGGCTGGCTCTTTGATCACCTACCCCTGGGGGGGGGAAGGTCAGCCTTGCCAGGCTACAGAGGAAGAAGATGCAGCCAGCCTTGATATGATATGATAGTCTAGGGTCAAATAGAAGGGGAGGAGTACTGCCCCTATCACTGGACTAGGGAAGTGGCATAGGGGAAGAAGAGGAAGGATGGGTGGGACTCGGAGGACATGAGGGGGGGCCACAGCTGGGATACAAAGTGAATAAACTGTAATTAATGAATCAATAAAAATTTAAAAAGGCTGCTGGTACTGGGGATGTAGCTCAGTTGATAAGTACAGTGCTTGCCTACCACACACAAAGCTTTAGACACCAAAAGCTTCATAAACAAGCAGCACAGACACAAGCCTGTTTTCCCAGAAGTTGGGAGCCAGAGACAGCAGGAGCTAATGCCATCATTGACTTATAGGGCACTCTGGCCTAATGTGGTTTATGTCTTCTAAATGGTTGGAATGACTACAGCATCTCTGATGTGTGGCTGTGACAGTATGTGTGGTACATCAAAAGTTTCTGAGCGACAGCTACAAGAGAATGTCCCGGATTCCTGTGAATCAGCTCAAGCATGTAGAAAAACCTGGCAAGGCCAACTGAAAAAGAAAGACGAGGATCGAGCCTGTGTTCATTTTACTCACTTGTATATCATGTCCTCTAATTGAGAAGGATGACTCAATAGAGAGAGCTTTTAAAGGCGCAAAGCACAACTGCTCCATCTGGGGTGCAGCAAGGGCCACAGGGAAAAGTGTAATGGCCTGTGACTTCAAAACACTATTTCTTGACATTTCAGCTGAACATTTATGAGAGGGTTTCTTTATCACATGCCTACTAAAAAGTCCTGCAATTCTTTACCTCTCTCATGATTTTGATGTTAAGTACCTATTTCATTTCAGCTGCCAGACTCATGTCTCTAGCATGATCTTCAAGACACAGTGTTTAATTGTGAGTTATCATTAAAAAACATATTGTTTAAAACTGGTTCTTTCTAGACATGAAAGAATATCTGCTTATGAAAATCATAATACTTTTACTATTACCTGCTTTCTGTTTTCTTAAAAGTTTACAATATGGTATTTTGATAAAATATTATTTAATATTAAATTGTAGCTCCTGTTAGTGTGTTAATTTAGGCAGAAGTAGTCAAGTCCAGTGATTTGAAGAAAACTTATTGCTTCTTGCCAAGGTGAAACTTCTGAAGAGGCTGACGCTGAAATGCCAAAACTTTATGAGCCAATCCAATCCCTTAATCACCTGAGTGAGCGTCTGAGCATGTTCCTGCAGCTCTATAATGAGAGCATCCGTGGCACTGGCCTGGACATGGTGTTCTTCATAGATGCAATGGTCCACTTAGTCAAGGTACAGTAGCTTCACCAAGGAGTTTGTCAGGGGTGACAGACACTTGGCTTCACCCAGAATACTGCCCCCATCTTCATTTTCTTTTCCTATGACTATAAATGTAAACTCGCTGTCATATTCCAGTTGAATTTCTAAGCTGAATGCAACATCTCACATGCTACAAGCTTAAAATAAGAGCATGTATATTTCCAATGTGCGATGTGAGAATTTTATTCAGTGTTGATATTCAGCTTCTAGCTCAGTGTTTTTGCTGCACAGGATGTATGTGGTTTATTTGAGTTCAAAGACTAAAGTCTGTTTATCTCTACATCATGTAAAGAACATCACTCTGAAGTAATGTCTAACCTTCAATGACATCAAGTGAAATAAGTGTTTATCAGCTGAAGAAGTTCTCTGGTTGAATCTTTGGGGTCGCTCATGTATACTATCATATCATCTGCAAATAGTGACACTTTGACCTCTTCCTTTCCGATTTGTATCCCCTTGATCTCCTTTAGTTGTCTTATTGCTCTGGCTAGGACTTCAAGTACAATGTTAAAGAGATATGGAGAGAGTGGGCAGCCTTGTCTTGTCCCTGATTTCAGTGGGATTGATTTAAGTTTCTCTCCATTGAGTTTGATATTGGCTATAGGCTTGCTGTATATTGCCTTTACTATCTTTAGGTATGTGCCTTGTATCCCTGATCTCTCCAAGACTTTAAACATAAATGGGTGCTGGACTTTGTCAAATGCTTTTTCAGCATCTAAGGAGATGATCATGTGGTTTTTCTCCTTCATTTTGTTTATGTGGTGGATTACATTGATGGATTTCCGTATGTTGAACCACCCTTGCATTCCTGGGATGAAGCCTACTTGGTCATGGTGGATGATATCTTTGATGTGTTCTTGGATTCGGTTTGCAAGTATTTTATTGAGTATTTTTGCATCAATGTTCATAAGAGAGATAGGTCTGAAGTTCTCTTTTTTTGTTGGATCTTTGTGTGGTTTAGGTATCAAAGTGACAGGAGTCTATCACAAAAGGCATCTGAAAGACTCTACCTAGCAGTGTTTCAAAGCAGACACTAAGACTCATAACCAAACCCTCGGCAGAGTGCAGGGAATCATATGAAAGAAGGGAAGTTAGTATGATATGGAAAGGATAGGAGCTCCACAAGGACCAAATATATCTGGGCACAGGGTCTTTTCTGAGACTGACACTCAACCAAGGACCATCTATGGATATAACCTAGAACTTCTGCTCGGACGTGGCCTGTGGTAGCTCAGTAACCAAGTAGTTTTCCAAAGTAAGGGGAACACGGACTATTTCTAATAGGATCTCAAGGGCAGGCTGTTTGACCCCCACCCCAGGGGAGGAGCAGTCTGTTAGGCCACAGAGGAGGACTTTGCAGCCAGCCCTGAAGATACCTGATAAAACAGGGTCAGATGAAAGGGGAGGAGGTCCTCCCCTATCAGTGGACTTGGAAAGGGGCAGGGAGGAGACCAGGGAGGGAGTGTGGGGTTGGGGAGGGAATGAGGGAGTGGGATACAGCTGGGACACAGAGTTAACAAAATGTAACTAAAAAGAAAAATAAAATAAATAAAAAAAAAAAAAAAAAAAAAGAAATAAGTGTGGCAAATACCACAGCATTCCACTCAGAGTAGGCACTCAGTAAAATCATCCACAGAGATCAAAGTAGAATGGAGAAAGTCAGAGCCGGATCAAGAAAGAAATGGGGTGTCAGTGCATAGATGACAATGCAGCCACTCCTGATGAGATCTGATAGACTAAGATCAGAAGGAAGGAGAGGAGGACCTTCCCCTATCAGTGGACTTGGGGAGGGGCATGCATGCAGAAAGGGGGAGAGGGTGGGACAGGGAGGGGAGGAGGGAGGGGCTTATGGGGGGATACAAAGTGAATATAGTGTAATCAATAATAATAATAATAAAAAGAATTTTAGTTTTGCCTGAAGAAAAGAGATATGCAAGCAGGTGGCGTCAATGGTTGCACAACAGTGTTCCTTTACTTGATAATATTAAATCATGCATTTTAATTAGTTTTAAGTGACTTTTATTACATGTGTTGATTGCATCGTCTGCTTTGCTTGATGCTATAACCAAATATCTGATATAAATAGCTGAAGGAAGGATTTGTTTTGTTTTGTTTTTGCTTACAGTTTGAAGGAGGACAGTCTATTGGTAGCAAGAACTTGAGGCAGCTGATCACATTGCATCTGAGTTAGGAAGCAGAGAGAGAGAAAAGTATGCTGGTGATCGGCTGGCTTTCCAGTTCTTACATAGTCTAGGACACTAGCCCAGGGCATGATGATGCCCACCTTTAGAATGGGTCTTTCTGTTCAATTAATCTAAACTAGAAAATCCTTCACAGTAGTCTTAGACATGCATTTCTGTGGTGGCTATAAAAATCCACTCAAATTGCAAATTAAAGACTAGCCATCACATGTATTTTGTAATCAAAGCTAATAGTTCTAAAAAAAAAGAAGAAGAAAGGATAATATGAATATTCTTTTCAATGAATTTGACCAGGTACATAGAATTTCATGCTACTTTGCCATATAAGACAGTTGATCCATTCTCAAATGTTGGAAATATATGAGTGTGTGTGTACATGCATATATATATATATATATATATATATATATATATATATATATATATAATATATACCAAAACATATATGACCTAATTTATCTATGTCATTAGACTTTCCATGTAATAGATGTCATCTATTTTCTTACTTTGTCAACATTATTTACTTTCTCAGACTACATACTTTCAGTTAGAAAACAGGCTGTCTTCTGCATTGTTTGTTTGTTTTTTTTTCATTAAATTTTAATTTTTTTCTATTAATTACAGTTTATGCACTTTGTATCCCAGCTGTAGCCCCCTCCTTCATTCCCTCCCAATCCTACCCTCCTTCCCTCATCTCCTGCCTGCCCCTCTCTAAGTCCACTGATAGGGGAGGTCCTCCTCCCCTTCCATCTGACCCTAGATTATCAGGTCTCATTAGGACTGGTTGCATTGTCCTCCTCTGTGGTCTGGTGAGGCTGCTTCCCACCCCCCTCAGGGGGAGGTGGTCAAAGAGTCAGCCAGTCATTTGGTTTTAAGTGTGAAGAATGAGCTCAGAAGTTAATAAACTGTAACTAATATTAAAAAAGTAAAAATTTAATTAACAACATGCTAATTAAATATTTATATAGTGGAGATAAAACACATTGCGTGTTGTTCCCAATAATGAGTAATAAAATGGTGTGTTTTTTTTAAATATTTTATTAATTACACTTTATTCATTTTGTATCCCCCCATAAGCCCCTCCCTCCTCCCCTGCCGATCCCACCCTCCCTCCGCTTTCTGCATGCATGCCACTCCCCAAGTCCACTGATAGGGGAAGGTCCTCCTCTCCTTTCTGATCTTAGTCTATCAGTTCTCATCAAAAGTGGCTGCATTGTCCTCTACTGTGGCCTGGGAAGGCTGCTCCCTGCTCAGGGGGAGGTGATCAAAGAGCAGGCCAAGCAGATTATGTCAGAGGCAGTCCCTCTTCCCATTACTATGGAACCCACTTGGACACTGAACTGCCATGGGCTACATCTGTGCAGGGGTTCTAGGTTATCTCCAAGAATAGTCCTTGGTTGGAGTATGAGTCTCTGGGAAGTTCCCTGTGTTCAAATTATCTTGTTCTGTTGCTCTGCTTGTGGAGTTCCCGTCCCCTCCAGCTCTTACTATTTTCCACTTTTTACATAAAATTCCATTCACTCTGCCCGACAGTTGGCCATCAGGCTCAGCATCTGCTTTGGCGATCTGCACGACAGAGGCTTTCAGAGGCCCTCTGTGGCAGGTTTCAAGGTTGTTTCCTGTTTTCTTCTGGCTTTCAGAGGCCCTCTGTAGCAGGTTCCGAGGTTGTTTCCTATTTTCTTTTTCTTCTGATGTCCATCCTCTTTGCCTTTCAGGATGGGGATTGAACATTTTAGTTAGGGTCCTCTCTTTTGCTTAGTTTGTTTAGATGTACAGATTTTAGTGGGTTTATTCTCTGTTGCATGTTTATATGAGTGAGTAAATATACCATGTGGGTCTTTTTGCTTCTGGGACAACTCACTCAGGTCCCACCATTTACCTGCAAATTTCATGATTTCCTTCTTTTTCATTGCTGAGTAATACTCCATTGTATAGATGTACCACAGTTTCTGCATCCATTCTTCAGTTGAGGGGCATCTGGGTTGTTTCCAGCTTCTGGCTATTACAAATAAAGCTGCTACAAATATGGTTGAGCAAATTTTCTCATTGTGTACTTTTTTAAAAAAAAAAAAAAAAGATTGAGCTCAGGGATACAAGTTGCCTCGTCTAATAGTTGCTGGATCTGAGAAGTGGAGGTGGTTTGAGAGCACATCCACAAAGCCTTTCCCATGATTTGGGCTTTGCTCTCTGTGTTTTTTTTCCAAATGAGGGCAAGGGTATTTCTGCAGGATTGAAGTGAGCCTGGGACAAAGGAAGAAAGACTGCTTGGCAATTACGTCTCTTCAGCACGAGGGCACATAGATTGGTGTCTTTGAATTCTTAGAATTTTGACATTTGTATGGACTGAATGACAAGGCCCAATGTTCTTCCAAATTCTAATGTAAATAGTAGTATGAAATGAACCTCAAAGTTATAGTTGGATAAGGGTTTGTTTGGAGCTGGAGAGATGGCTCAGTGGTTAAGAGCACTGACTGCTCTTCCAGAGGTCCTGAGTTCAATTCCCAGCAACCACATGGTGGCTCATGACCATTTGTAATGGAATATGATTTCCTCTTCTGGTGTGTGTGGAAACAGAGCATTCATGTACATAAAATAAATAAATCTTAATAAAAGAGTTGATGTTTTATTAAGAATAGAACTTTGGCCATGTTGAACAGCTAAAATAAAGGGTGGGTAAAGAAATAATAATAATAAAAAAACCCAACCCTCTCCAACACTTTACATCCTGTAAAGGAGTCTGCTGAAGACATGGTCTTGTTCTCCCATTGTTAACACTGCTAATGAGTATTTTTGCCAGTCTTTCAAAATGGCTTCACTTTCTGTTTTGCAACACAAACAATAAGCCTTCTTCATTTATCTGAGCATGCCATGGAAGGCACAGTGCCTCAGCTCTGAGGGTCTTTTTCTTGGTTCTCATTCACTAGCTTGATAGCTTGCAATTGGTCAAAGAATACATATCCAGAACATTTGAGACACAATTGTGCATCCCTCACTGTGTTCTAGGCTGACTCCCTCTTAAGTATGTGTGTGTTTGTGTGTGTGTGCTCAGTACCTCTAAGTTCTAGGCCATGAGAACATGAGCTTTGATGTGTGTGACCTAGTCATATGACATGAGAGAAGTCAGAGACAGAGCAGAGGTAAAAATCTGTGTCCAATTGGCTGTGATCTGAGGTCAAGCTCACAGCTTACATTTTTTACTCAAAAAAATGCAGGCTATGTCTTTGTGCTATGTATCTTTATTAATATTATTTTTTAAAAGTTGAGATTATAATACAATTACTTTTCCCTTTCCTCTCTCCAAGCCCTCCAATGTAGCCCTCTTTGCTCTCTTTCAATCGTATATAGATGTGCATATATATTTATGCATGGATATTCATAATCATAAACTGCTCAGTCTGTGTCATGCTACTTGTATGCATGCTTTCAGGAATGAATATTTAGTATTGGATAACCAATTGGTATGGTCTTCTCTGGGGAAGACTGTTTATCCGTTTATCCCACTCTCAGCATTCCTTAGTTTCCTGTATTTTTTTTAACCTTTTATTGATTCTTTGTGAGTTTCATGTCATGCACCTCAGTCCCACTTATCTTCCCAACCCCTTGGATCTGTCCTCCACCCTTTCACCCTTCCTCCGAAGAAATTAATAAATAAACAAAAATAACCAAAGCAAAGCATAGAAAACATCTCGTGGAAGCTGCAGCATGTCACAGTGTGTCCCACAGTGTACCCCTCTATCCACACATTTTCCCTTGCAAATATTCATTGCAACAAGTCATTGGTCTGGTTCAAGGTCTGGCTTTGTCACACCGTTAGTATTGAATCCTCACCAGGACTCCTTCCTGTTACCCTGTTGTTGCCTGTGTCATGGAGCAGTTTTGGATCAAGACCATGTGCTCCAATAGTTCACAGATAATGTAGATGTTAGGGTGGACCAGCACAAAGCTCTGGATCTGGGCCTGGGTGGTAACTGAGTTGGTCAGCCTGCTGGCCTTCCTGCACCAGCAGGGTCAGGTCCCCAACACTGCTGTGGCTAGCCCACCCAAAGCTGCCATCAGCAAGAGGCAGGTTCAGCTCTCCTGACCTCTCAGCTGACAAGGAGCAAGGGGATGGAGGGTATCATCCTTGCGCCCAAGCCACCTCAGAGCAGATGAGTGGGCCGGTAGTTTTGTGTAGGGTTGAGGGCTTGCCATATTTCAACAATAGACATCCCAAAGTGATACATGTGTCTTTTGTGTGTTTGTGTGTGTGTGTGTGTGAGAGAGAGAGAGACACAGAGAGAGAGAGTTTAAACTATAGAGTCAGTGGCTTATCATGACCCTGATATTGCACTTAACCCATGCATAACATTTTTGCCTAGTGAATAATTTAGAAATATTGACTGTTCATGTTCAAATACACCCAAGTCCAGAATACTTCATTAGTATGAATTCCCATCGGTTATCTGGGTTTTTACTTCCCATGGACAATGAGTTCTATGAAGGCAAACCTCCTCTTGAGTCACTTCAGTCTTTCCTGATGAAATTCTTGGGAGATGATCAAATACACAAGACTCTGGCAAATTATCTGGAATTTAAACATGTCCCTGTGTGTCCCCAACATTTTGCAGCCTCGTCTACTTCTATTTCCTATTCCAACCCTGGTGTGGCCATCTCAGGCTTTTGAGGATTCTCATAATTTGTGTCTTACCTGTTATCCACCATCCTTCCTCCTCTAACTCTCTCCTTCCTTCCTTCCTTCCTTCCTCCCTCCCTCCCTCCCTCCTTCCCTCCTTCCTTCCCTCCCTCCTTCCCTCCTTCCTTCCCTCCCTCCCTCCCTCCTTCCCTCCCTCCCTTCCTTCCTTCCTTCCTTCCTTCCTTCCTTCCTTCCTTCCTTCCTTCCATAGTGTTTTGTTTTGTTTTTGAAGAGAAAAAAGTCTTTGTTGAGTAGCTCAGTTGGCCCTGCACTCAACCATATATCAAAGGGTGGCCTCGACCCCTCTATTCTTTTGCTAGAATTGTGGGTGTGTGCCTCCACACACGTCCACAACCAGAAAGCCACCTTCTTTGTGAACTTCTTCTAGTCATATTCCAAGACCAAGATTAAATTCAAGTCACATACCTGAACTCAACTCTCTGAAGCAGTGATGTTTCCATGGAGTTCATTGATCCCAGTGTTGCCATTGCTTTCTCTCTCAGACACTCAAACATCTCCTGTCAACAGGAGCATAGTGCTGCAGGGACATAGTGCTACAAGGATAATGAGCATTATTATTTTTTTACACATTTGCTAATGAAATGAAAACATGAACATCTTTATCTCAGTCTACACACTGGACAATGTAACTCATTTAAGGGTCTTCCTTGAGTGCTTTTTCTCCTAGCTTCTTTGGTATTAACAAGGATGATCTTGTGTTTTAATTTCACTTTAACACCTTTTATTTGCTTGTCCATGTATCTGTTCATCTTTCCAATGTTGTGAGGATTTATTGTGGCAGAAACTGGAAATGGAAATTTCAATTTAATACTTTAGTCAAGTTCCATTGTAAAACTACAATGAAGATTTCTTAAAACCAAATACACAAATTTACATAATCCTCTAATATATTCCTACACATGAAACAGGACAGGATTATCACTGTGAAGTGGCAACCAAAGGACGTCAAACATACTAGTGTACCTTGGGGCTGCTCCTTATCTGTCTTGCTTCAACAGTTTGAATTTATACCAAAGGGAGGTGTGAGGAGACCCATGCAGCTCTCTGCCTCTACAGAGTCATGGAGATAGGTAGGCTGTGAGCAGGAAGCTAGAGAAGCCGAAGGACACAGACATCTCCAGCTTTTAAGTGAATACAGAGGCAGGCAGATCAAGTTCCTTTCCCACATGTTTAAAGTTTGGAGTATTGGGTGCAAACCCAGTAGTATTCCAAACAGGAATGGAACATACTGAGATAAGAGACAGAAATTTTGAAGAAGGATGCTTAAGAAAACCTTGTCTGGATGGAAAGCAAGGGTTAGCAGGACCTATGGTTAGCCCTCACTTCTTGCTGCCATTGGACTTAGGCAAATTTTACAGCAGTACTAGGTTAAATTTATATTTTTGGAGGGAAAGGGCTTGCACATAAGGTGAAATGATTACCGAGAATTCTATCCTGGATCCTGTCTAGAAGGAAAGCTAAATTAATGAACTACTACCAGGAGGCAACTGGGCATGGTCTGTGTCTGCTGAGCAGGGTGGAGAAGACTCCTGACCCATCTTTTATCACTTCTTGACAAAAAACTTGGAAATCACCATCTTGCCAAATAGTATGTTTATGCACATTTCCTTCCATCATCTCTGTTACTTAAGCTATCTTCCCCGTGATTGAAGCTATCTGTTTTCATGTGTGGATAGTATTGTAGTCAGTGGCCTGCTCTGAGTTCTGAGGATAGGTGTCGTCTTAGCATTATACTGTCTTTTCTAGCATGCTGCTTTAGGTTGCACATGCTAAAAGGACACATCAAAGTCTCCTTTAGTTTTCTTCTTGTAAGCAGAGTCAGCCTCAATCTGGAACATGTTGGTACCTTATGGGGTCGTGAGGGCATGCCTTACAGTTGCCACCAGGTGGTGCAACCCAGGTGCTGTCATAGTTAGAAGGGCTCCATTGTCTTAAGCAGTACGGCTTTCTATTCTGACCCGGAGACACCTTTGTATTCCAAATGATTATCTGGCCTTAAAAAATATTTTATTTACTATTTTAAAAATATTTTTATTAAAATAGAATTGTATCATTTTCTTTTTTATTTCTCCAGGTACTCTCCGTCTACTCTCTCTAATGTCCTTCCATTTTTAAATTGATAGCCTTTTTTGATTATTATTATTGCACACATATAGATGTATGCATATATTTTAATACAACCTTTTGAATCCATTTTGTGTGTGTGTATTTATGGTTTCAGGGCTGACCACTTTGTATCAGATAACCAATAAGGGGTTGGTTCATCACAGGGAGAGCTAATTTCCCATCTCCCATCAGTTATTACTTGTATTTGGCCTTCTTTTATACCAAGTGCAAAATATAATGGTGAGCTTACATGTTGAAACAGATAAGTCTTTTCTACTTTATATCATAGATTTCCCGAGTCATTCGCACTCCTCGGGGAAATGCCCTCTTGGTTGGTGTGGGCGGATCAGGAAAACAGAGCCTGACAAGGTTGGCTTCTTTCATTGCTGGCTATACCTCTTTCCAGATCACTCTGACAAGGTAAGGGCTTTTATGTTACCATAAAATGGGTTTTAAAGAAAGGTTTTCAGAGGTCACCAGCAGTTAAGAATGCATTTTCTTATGAACATTAAGAATCACAATAGTTTTCCTCCTTGAATACTGACACACCTTCCCCTTTTAACCTTTGTTATGGATCAGGATGTTTTCTATTAGAAACCTGCTTTTCTAAACAGTTCAGCCTCTTACAACAGAGCATTGCCACTTCTTTGTTTATATCTTTTATGTAGTATAAGCATTAAATCTATCCTTTGTACATTTTAGAAGACATTCATATATTGTAAGTCTTGATGCAGATTTCAGCAATGGAAAATACATCCATGCAAACACTTTAAGGTATTTGTTAAATATTGAGTAGACACTCAACTCTAGTTGGGGGAACAGGATTGTGTCAGTTTCCTGTTACTAGGAAATATCACTGAAAATCAACTTAAGGAGGAAAGCTTTATTTTGGTTTAAGGTTTTAAACAATGTCTGACTAGCTCTGTTGTTCTATGGATTTACAGTGAGGGAAAAACATAATTGGCAGTTCATGGGTATGTGGTAGAGCAAGACTGCCCACTTCATGGAAACAAAGAAGGAGAAAAAGAAGTAGTTAAGGAGAGCAACACACACACACACACACACACACACACACACACACACACAGAGAGAGAGAGAGAGAGACAAAAGGAGGGATAGACAGACACACACACACACACTGATGGGGATATGAGGAGAAGAGAGATGGAGATATAGAGGGAGAGAAAGAGGAACATGAAAGAACATCTTAATGTCCCCCTCAAGAACAGCCACCAAGGCACAGTGACCAAACTTCCTTCCACTAAGGTTTGTTTACTTTCTAAGGTTCTGTTATTTCCCAATGACACCACTAACGCATGGGTCTCTGGGAGGCAGTCCTGAACCATTACAGCATAGATAAGTCCAGTCAGTGATATCATGGTGCTTCTAGCAATTCAAAGGAGACAGGTGATGAGAATTTTACTCAAGAGAATATGGCTTGTGAGGTGCTATTGTGTCTAATAGGGAAATAAAGGCAGACACATCAGAAAAGCCTTCTAGAAGAAATGATGTTAAAAAGGAAACCTGCATCTGAGTAGGAATTCTAGAAGAAGAATCTCTGAGTTTCTAGGCAAAAACACTGGCATTGTGAAGTTAACATTATGCCAAGTTACATTTGATCCTGGGAGAATCACATATGGCTGAATGTGGAGTGTGAGATGGCAAGTGGGAATGCATTAATCATGGAGGTATTTAAAGGTATAGTAATGAATTCATATAGCATCAAAGAGTAATAGGAAAGCACTGATGGGTTACCAGTAAAGCTGTGTGCGTGTGTGTGCGTATGTATGTGTGTGAGATATCTGTATGTCTGGCAAATGGATGGAAAGAAAAATGGCATAGTCATAAAGCTATCTTAAGGGTTTAGGCAAGACAAGATGTTACTATGAGGAGTGGATGAAGGAAGGGAAAGATGGAGGATGGCAATCCAGGAGATTGTTAGCAAACTGGAGCTCTTCTTGATAATCCTCACTTTGGGGTACAGAATGATATAGATGGTCACTGTTCATGAAGAGTAGGCACCCAAGGTCTGTCAGGAGTGCGTGCGCGCGCACGTGTTCGTGCGATAGGTAGGAAACTGCATTAGCAAGTGAACAGTGAACGTGAAAACATAAGTAAGAGCTGACTCAGAAAAGCCAAACTAAGTTTCCTAAAGCCAGTTTAAAGAGTTTAGCTGAGATGAATTCATTAGTATTTCATTCAGACTAGTGGGGGCAGGAAGCACTACTTCCCTGGCATCTGCGGGAATCGTGCCATTGACCTGTCTCACTGAGAGAGACCCATATGCACCTGCTGCTATCTTGGAGCCTGAAAGTTATTAAATATTGGAGTTGGAGATCCTGTTATTCAAGCTGAGGTTGTCATACTTGGTCTGAATTATAGGACTCTCTTTGGAGAATAAATCCAAAGATTGCTGTTTAGTACATGTAGGAAGATGACAGAGATAGCCCTTGTTACCATGAGTATAATAACAGCCTGTGTGTGTAAGCCAAGCAGGGAAACAGATAACCTGCACAGGAAGGCAATTTGATTCATATTTTTGTCATCAACATTTGTATAAATCCTTATTGTTTTAAATCACCTCTGCATATCTGGGCTAATTGGATTTTCTAAAGAAGTTTATTAGGAGGTCAGGTAGTAGTAGTCCATCTTGCAGCTGGAGTTCAGAGAGCCTGCGAATTGCCTGACATTAGTCAGAGTAGGGGATTGATTGCACTGCAGGACTTGCAATCAATTCAGGTGTCTAGTCAAGTGTGACTCCTGCTGCAACCCAATGGCTCAGTAAACACCTACAACTCTCACGGTGACAAATTTGTTCCTCTGCTTGTCACACTGAAAATGATCCATTACCAATGAGAGGAGAGGCAAGGTCTTCCTCACCTTAGAGACCATCTAAATCCATAAGCCAAAGATGTTTGTCCAAGGCTGGACCCTGGAGCCTCCTGACTGGGATGCAAAACCAATGGTTATATTTGAGAACAGTAATTTCCCCCATCCTTTCAAGAAGCTGGATGAGATGAGCTATGCATTCTTTTTATCAATTGTTTTTGTTCTCTACCTCTCACCCCCATTTTCTCTTTTAATGGGAGAACTGTATCTATCTTTAAAAATTTTATGATCACTTAGCCCTTGTGTCTCTAGTAGTCTTCTAGGAATAGTGACACATGATTGTCCTGGTTAGTTTTTTTTTTTTTTGTCAACTTGATACAAGTTAGAGTTATTTGCAAAGGGGGACCTCAATTGAGAAAATGCCTTCATCAGGTTCTATGTAGGCAAGTCTAAAGAACATGTTCTTGAGTAAAGATTGATGTGGGCGGCACCAGTCTACTCTTGGTGGAGCTGCCTCTGGGCAGGTAGTCCCGGATAGTGTAAGAAAGCAGGCTGCCCACTCTCTCCGTATCTCTTCAACATATTTCTTGAAGTCCTTGCTAGAGCAATAAGACAATTAAAGGAGATCAAGGGGGTACAAATTGGAAAGGAAGAAGTCAAAGTATCACTATTTGCAGATGATATGATAGTATTCCTGAGTGACCCCCCAAATCAGAAGCCCTCCTGTATACAAAAGACAAAAGGGCTGAAAAAGAAATTAGGGAAACAACACCCTTCACAATACCCACAAAAGACATAAAGTACCTTGGTGTGACCCTAACCAAGCAAGTCAAAGACTTGTATGAAAAAATATCCTAGTCTCTGAAGAAAGAATTAGAAGAAGATATGAGAAGATGGAAAGATCTCTCATGCCCATGGCTTGGCGGGATTAACATAGTGAAAATGGCCATCTTACCAAAAGCAATCTACATAGTCAATGCAATTCCCATCAAATTGCCAACACAATTCTTTACAGACATTAAAAGAAAAATTCTCACCTTCATATGGAATAACAAGAAACCCAGAATTGCTAAAGCAGTTTTCTGCAATAAAAGATCTTCTGGAGGTATCTCCATCCCTGATCTCAAGCTGTACTATAGAGCAACAGTAGTAAAAACTGCATGGTACTGGCATAGAAACAGAATGGGGGATCAATGGAATTGAATAGAAGACCCAGAAATAAACCCACACACTTATGGACACCTGATCTTTGACAAAGATGCCAAAACCATACAGTGGAAAAAAAGATAGCATCTTCAACAAATGGTGCTGGTCTAACTGGATGTCTACATGTAGAAAAATGCAAATAGATCCATACTTATCACCCTGCACAAAACTAAAGTCCAAGTGGATCAAAGACCTCAACATAAAACCAAACACACTAAACTTATTAGAAGAAAAAGTGGGGAATACCCTTGAACTCATTGGTACAGAAGTCATCTTCCTGAACAGAACACCAACAGCACAGGCTCTAAGAGCAACAATCAATAAATGGAACCTCATGAAACTGAAAAGCTTCTGTAAAGCAAAGGACACTGTCGTCAAAACCAAATGATAGCCTACAGACTGGGAAAGGATCTTCAACAACCGTATATCTGACAGAGGGTTAATATCCAGAATATATAAAGAACTCTAGAAGTTAAACAGCAACAAATCAAGTAATCCAATTAAAAATTGGGGTATAGAGCTAAACAGAGAATTCTCATAAGAGGAATATTGAATGGCAGAGAAACACTTATAGAAATGTTCTACATCCTTAGTCATCAGGGAAATGCAAATCAAAACGACTCTGAGACTTCACCTTATATCCATCAAAATGGCCAAGATGAAAAACTCAGGTGACAACACATGCTGGTGGGAATGTAAACTTGTACAATCACTCTGAAAATCAATCTGGCGCTTTCTCTGACAGTTAGGGATAGTGCTTCCTCAAGATCCAGCCATACCACTCCTAGGCATATATCCAAAAGATGCTCAAGTATACAACAAGGACATTTGGTCAACCATGTTTGTAGCAGCTTTATTTGTAATAGCCAGAAGCTGGAAAAGCCCAGATGCCCCTCATTTGAGGAGTGGATACAGAACTTTCGGTACAGCTACTCAATGGAATATTACTCAGCAATAAAAAAACAAGGAAATCATGAAATTTGCAGGTAAATGGTGGGAACTGGAAAAGATCATCCTGAGTGAGATATCCCAGAAGCAGAAAGACACACAGGGTATATACTTAATCATAAGTGGATATTGACATATAATATAGGATAAGCACACTAAAATCTGTACATGTAAGGAAGCTAATCAAGAAGGAGGACTCTGGCTAAGATGCTCAATCCCCATTCAGACAGTCAAAGAGGATGGACATTGGAGGAGGGAGAAAACAGGGAACAGGACAGGAGTGTGCCACAGAGGGCCTCTGAAAGGCTCTATCCTGCAAGGTATGGAGACAGATGCTGAGACTCATAGCCAAACTTTGGGCAGAGTGCAAGGAATCTTATGGAAGAAGGCAGAGAGAGAAAGACCTAGAGAGTACAGGAGCTCCACAAGGAGAGCAACAAATCCAAAAAGTTTGGGCATAGGGGTCTTTTCTGAGACTGATAATCCAACCAAGGATGACTGGTGGAGATGGACTGGAACCCCTATACAGATGTAGCCCACGGCATTTCAGCATCCACGTGGGTTCCATAGTAATGGGTACAGGTACTGTCTCTGACAAGAACTGATTGGCCTGCTCTTTGGTCACTTCCAGATATGGGGGGAAGCAGCCTTATCAGGCCACAGAGGAAGACAGTGCAGCCACTCCTGATGAGACCTGATAGACTGGGATCAGAGGGAAGGGGAGGAGGACTTCCCTTATCAGTGGACTGGGGGAGGCGTACAGGTGGGGAAGAGGGTGGGATTGGGAGGGGAGGAAGGAGGGAGCTACAGGTGGGATACAAAGTAAATAAATTGTAATTAATAAAAATAAAAAGAAAAAAAACAGAAAAATAAAGAAAGCCAGCTAAATATGCAATGTGGAGCAAGCCAGTAAGCAGCACTCCTCTATGCCTTCTGCTTCTGTTCCTAATTCCAAGTTTCTGACCTGCTTTTGGTCATTTTAATCACAGCAATAGAAAATATCAGTCAACGATTGTAGATGTAGTTTATGCTATTAAAAAAGACAGAATTTAGATGCCAAATACTTAGTATCATTAAAAAAAGATCAAGTGGCTATTTGATTCTTTACTCTGAATTCTGATTTGTTTTAATCTCTCTCTCCCTCTCTCTCTCTCTCTCTCTCTCTTTCTCTCTCTCTCTCACACACACACACACACACAATTTAGTAAGTCTAACTCTCCAAAAATGAAATATTTTCTTTTACACTGTTGGGAAAATGGACGACTCTGTGGACACTGCTCTAGCGTTCCTTGATTGTAGGATAACTTCTACCTGTAGATTGCTTTGGAGAATGGAAGGAAATTAATGGTAGGGTTTGTTTCAAAAGTTTCCAGCTAGTCTAATGCAGTGTACCAATTGTCCTGAAACCAACTCTTTGTGTGGAATCCAAATATATGAGTATAATAGTGATTTTAGAAGATGAGAAGGGCATAGTGTGTCACAATTTAACTTTTCTCTCCCATATCACAAAAGCTTGAATGGATTTAGTTTAGTTTAGTTCAATCTATGAGGTCTCTTCTAATATGCCCTTCACTGCTTGGTACTTAATAAATCTTCTAATTACTATGTCCAACAAATATTTCCCTTGTAAATGTGTATCTTCAAAATGGTGTCTGCACACAGATGGCATGTATGCAGGCAAATGATATTTGCTTGTGTTAAATTGTGATCTTTCAGGTTTAACTTCTCCTTACAGATGATTCTGTGTACCAAAGAATTACAGTATCAGTGAAGTATGTATGAAGTTGAACAATCAGTTACCTAGCTAAAATTCATAGTCAGTATGTATCCATACGATAGAATAAAATCAGCATTGTTTGATGGCGTAAATCTCTTGCCTTTCTATGGACATGTTTTAGTGACTGACACAATGGCCATGTTTCTTCAGATCCTACAGCACATCAAATCTGATGGAAGACTTGAAGGTTTTGTATAGGACTGCTGGCCAGCAAGGCAAAGGAATCACTTTCATTTTCACAGACAATGAGATTAAAGAAGAGTCCTTTCTGGAATACATGAACAATGTTCTGTCTTCAGGCGAGGTGGGAGTTTAGTTGTTTTCAGACCATTGCCTCTCTAGATTCTTTCTAACATAGAACTCCCCATTTTGTCATCCTTTAGAAATTTGAGTTAAATTTGAGTTCTTAGGAATTTGACAATCAAAATGAAAAATGGCTTTTTCTATTGATTTTTAAAAGAATAAACCTTATCCAGGCCGGAGAGATGACTCAGAAGTTAAGAGCACTGCTTGCTCTTCTAGAGGTTCTGAGTTCAATTCCCAGCAACCACGTGGTGGAACACAGCCATCTAAGATGAGATCGGGTGTCCTCTTCTGGCCTGCAGGTGTATATGTAGGCAGAATGTTGTATACATAATAAATAAGTAAATCTTTAAAAAAAGGATAGATATGAAGCTTACATTTATGACAGTGACATGAGAAATGGCTAAATGGAAGAGAGGCTGGGAAAGCTAGGCTCTGCTATGCCCATTTACCTCCTGTCAGGGCTGTAGTTTTGCTCTTAGTCATTGAAACATCTGTGTGCATAAGGATGTGGTATAGTTCATCTTGAAAGTTTTAAGTTCACTTTAAAAAGTGGAACTTACAAGCACAAATGGAGATGTCTTGGGCCTTTTGAGTATATATTTTGATGTGTTTCTTATGCATATAGTGAATTTAGATGCCTGTATTTCTTTCTGAGGTCTCCAACCTATTTGCCCGGGATGAAATTGATGAAATTAATAGTGACCTGACAACAATCATGAAAAAGGAACACCCCAAGCGCCCTCCCACCAATGACAACCTGTATGAGTATTTCATGAGCAGAGTCCGAGGGAACCTTCACATTGTGCTCTGCTTCTCACCTGTTGGAGAGAAATTTCGGAATCGAGCACTGAAGTTCCCTGCTCTTATTTCAGGATGCACGATTGACTGGTTCAGCCGATGGCCCAAGGATGCTTTGGTTGCTGGTTAGTGTGATGGAAATAACTCTGCCATGTGTTCTTGTTTGCAGGGTCTCATTTACTTTATTATTTATTACTTATGCTACCAGCTGTCTCTGCACTGGGCTGGACAACTCCCTTTGCTCAGTATGGGAGGATTTTTGTTTCAAGATGCTGCTCTTTTTAACTTGGTAGCTGGTTTTCTTTTCTTTTTTTTTTTTTCCTAAAGTATGGTTGCCAGAGAGTAAAGTCTTCCATTTCTGCCTCTTTGACTAAATCTTCAGTGACCTTAGTTTCTCAATGATCAGTTTGTGATTTGCACTTAGTTGTGTGTTTCTTGAGTTTTCATGATTAATCTTACTAGGTTAAAGCCTCAGAAGGCAAGGATGATATATATATATATATATATATATATATATATATATATATATATATA